AGGAACCATGGAAACATGACATGATCATGGATCGTAACAATGTCTAAACTTGCAGTTTACTTTGAAAACAGTGTACATTAGATAAGCAACTTTTCTAAAGAAATCCCAGAAGCTTGTCTGCATTGCTGTAAAATTGGTACAGAAGTGCAAAAGGAAGAAATCTTACAAGCAAGATCAACTAAATTTGAATTACATTTTTTGTTATTTTACCTGTTTTCTTTTTTTCTTTTTTAGCAGAAGAATCTACTGTCGTCTGTGGAACCAGTTCCCAGTTTAGATTTAGGGGACAGAAATTTACAGGATTAGGTTTAAAATATGGTGACCCTGAACCCCCCGTAGTTACACTGCAACTGACCTAAACAACTATTTCCATGATGTACTGAGTGTGTCTTCTTCCCTCTCTGTGTTACACCACTTGGAATTTAATCATTATTAATCATTCTCTGGCTCTCTCCAATGTGTGTTGTCTCACTTCCTTCACCCACCAAGTGGTCACGGTAGATTCCTCCCTCCCTGAGACTGGTTCTGCTGATGGTTTCTTCCTATTAAAAGGAGATTTTTCCTTTTCACTGTTACCAAGTGCTTGCTCACACGGGGTCGTCTGATTGCTGGAGCTTTCGCTCTGTTGTTGTAGGGTGTCCATACTATAAAAGTTGAGTTGTGGCTACATTGAATGTAATTAAAGATATGAAACTTTCATATGAACTGATCCAATAACTCTAAGATCACTGGCTGACTGAGTGCCTGCCCTTTTGTTGTGTCAGCTGTGTTGCTAAATTGTTGCTAAACCGAATAAGTAGTTGCAGCAGAGAACATGCACAGTAAGTGAGAGGCTGTGTGTAGAAAAGATTTACTTGACTAATTTCCAGTCTTGAATAAAACACTGCTTAAATGAAAAAAAAATGCAGAGGAGCTTGTGATTGAAAGCGTATACTTTGCGTGGAGGGATCAGGAGGCGGAGGTAGCTGCTGATGACCTCATAACTCAGTGTTAGTGGGTTCTCGGACCCCACTGGATTTCCTCCTCCACAGACAGTACTGATAAGTCCAGCTCTGTAACTGTGCAGGTGATCCAGGCTTTTCAGTGGGAGAATATAATGAATTGGAAAATCAAAGAGTTCACTGCATAAGCCTTCCTTCAGGAATGAGTTGGCGCTACTCGATAGGAATAGCATTGTGAGCTCTAATGCCCTCCCTGGAGCCTTGGCCTTCAACCTCCATTCACATCCTGCCATTTGCAGCGGCTGCAGGCCTGCAGGCTTTACATGCCACTTTATACTGAGGCTAATACAGCTGGATAACGCTAAGTCCACCCACGACTTAAACCCACACTCTCCTCGCTTAAGCGTCGGACAGGCATTTTCAAATAGTGAAACAGATTTTTTTTTTAAGTGTAAACTTTGTATCCTCCTCTCACAAACACAAACTTGCACCATATACCTGGTGACCTTGTGTGCATCATTTATTCCATAAGGGTCACTGTGGCTGAGCTCCACTATTCTAACTCCAGGCAATGGTGGGAGAACATTGCTTTGAATTCAGCTAATTCAAATCCAGCATTTGTACCCTTCACCTGCATCAGCTCCATTAATACTTACAGTAATCTAATAAAAACATGTTTCTAATCTTATGTTTTTGTTGTAACCTTCACAGGCAGTTAATAATGTTGACCTTAACTTAATGCGGAAATTAGCAATTGTATTAGTGTATGAAGTGTATGAGGGAATGACTAATATTATTTGTGTCACTAGATAAAGTAGAAATTCTGACTTCAAATAATAATTTGGATTTATTCAGGATTTTGACTTGCTTGGCCCAGCAAGTGACAGTTTATAGAAATCAACTAAAATGTTGCTCGCTGTGCAGACTTATGGAATGGGCTATTTTTATGCCCTAAAATGACAAAATCATTAAAATACAGCTTACAAGTACAATTTTATGTTTAAAGCTTGTGTAAAATGTAAACAAAGCAGCCAAAGTAGCCTAGGCCCATTGCAATGTAATGAAGGGAGGATTTAGGGTCACTTTAGGGCCACTTCCAACCCTAACTATATGCTTATCAAAAGCATATAGTTAGGGTTGGAAGCAATGTGTCCTCTAAGCTGCGCGCGTGCGCAATTGCGCACTGCTGGAACGGTCTCTGCGCACAGAAAATCTGTGTTGTGCACAAAGAAATCTAACCTGAATTGAAATTAAAGTAAATACGTTAACAATTCTGTTTTTGCAGTGTTAGTCAGTGAGTGACTGGCTGCTCCCGTATGTAATCAGAACGATGCTTCAGGTTACAGGCTCTTATATATTATAGCAAGGGCGTAGATTTGGCATGGACGGAAGGGACGTGTCCCCACCAATATCCAGCGATTATTGAATTGTCCCCATCAATAATTTGATCTCTTTGAGTAAAGAAAAACAAACCCAATAGTAAGAAAAAAAACGATCTGTCATCATCATTCACCCAGCAGTGCAGAAAGAGTTAAATTACGTTCTCTACTGGAGTCCTACGTCATGTGACAAATATTGCCAATGTGATTGGCTGTGCTTTTCAGGGAGTTTTCGAAACTAACTGCACAACATGCAGCACTATTAGTTATCTCAGTCTCAGAGTAGCATTTCTAATTTTGATTGAAACTGTCAGAGAAAACGGCAGCCTCGAGCAAGCCAGGATATTAGTTTACAGAGGCTGTTAAAATTATATGTCTAACGTTAAAATGTTGGTGACACAATAATTTCATCCTAATGGCACTGACATATTCATAGTGTTAATTTTTGAGACAAAATGTCATGAGGTAGTCATGATTTTGCAAATATTCCACCTTCCACCTATTCCACCACAAATTGTTTTAAAAATGCACCCACCCTACAAACATTACTGATGAGTCAAGATCTGCACAAATTGACAGAAACACTGAAGCAGCTACACATTTTATTCTTATTGTCATGTATGTCCTATTTGTCAGGTGACAGAAGAACCAACACAAAGCTCAGAGAGCAATGGTGATGCAAGATCACAGGTGAAATTGGATGGTGACTTGTTGGTTCATTACTGTATTTGAAGCACTTGTGTGACTGCATGTATTTGGAATTTCTCACTGTTATTCATCAGGTGACAGAGGCAGCTCTGCCATGTTGTCGCTCGGACAGAGGTGAAGAGGCAAGTCACAGGTGACTGACTGATGATTTGGTGCTATAGATTAACGAGAAGAGAAGGCATGTATTTGGCTGCTTCACATAGTGGACATTGAGTTGTTGTGTGGGGCACCAGTAGTGCATATGTGTTGCTGTAACAATAGTTCATGTTTAGAATAAAAAATCCCAGCTCACTGATCTGATCGGGGCAATAG